AAGAATTCTTTATAGGCCAAATAAGTACTTCACATGGTCTTATCGTCACAGGGTTTCGCATTCGAAAGCTCCCGTAGTTTACAGAGATAACTAATTAATTTAATTACCACCAGCTATAATCGAACTGTTGACCTCGTCTGTAGAGGGTTAGGCGCCTAGACCACTAGGCTATGGAACCCTAACCTTTTATATTTAAAAGTTAAAAAAATTATATATATATATATTTTTAAATAAATCCAATTTAAATGATTTTTTTGCAAAAATTTACTGGACATGTTAACTTATTTGATTTATAATAGCAATTTAAGCTTTCATGTTCTGTAACTAATATAAATATAAGATATTATAATTTATTAAATAGTAAAGCTCTTATTCAGATCGCCTAACCCATGCGGGTTAGCTTCTTGAAAACTCAAATTATGAAAAAATTCTAGTTAACTACAAAAACTTTATAACATGTTGAACTGGGTTATAACCTGGGTCACTATTTAGGCCAGTATTTTTTAACCTTCTAATAGGTAGAAAAGTAATGGCAAAAAAAAGTTACCACCATGTGATTGCTGCATTTCTAAATCTCTTCAGAAGCTATATACAAAATTTATGCAACTTTGAATCAGATATGTAATATACTATATATTAAATTTCAGAATTTATATTAATTAACAGTTATATAATCAATATCAATATTGTAATTAATTGATATATATAGCGAAATTAAATTGTTCAATTACAAGTTAATAAATCAATATAGTAAACGTATAAACATGTATACATGGGTGTCTAAATTATTTTTTAAAAAAAGCAATTTTAACAAACATTTCAACATTGCAGATAAATTTTCACAAAGATAATTTCACTAAAAGTTTCTACAACTATAAAAATTAATTTCGCTAATAAGAAAATTTTTTATTATCTAAGAGAAGTAATTTAGATGCCCATATTATGAACATTCAAAGGTGAAATTTATTTAGATTAATAAAAGAGAAATTAATTAGTTTGATTTTACATAATTCATTTGGATGATCATCAAAACCACCAATCATATTGTTTAACCAATACTACATGATTAATATGTTGGCTATATAAAGTGTAATGTATATATATATATATTTATATATATCTAGTATATTATGCTAAGTTTAAAGCTAAATTTTAAATTTTTTAAATCATTCAAAAATTGTATTATTGCTATATACAAACTTCTATGAAAGTGTATTATATGGCTAACATTTTTAGAAAATAAAGGATCTTAGTATAATTTCTACATTAAGATGCAGGTATTCTAGTCATTGTAAATAATTATGAATAATATATACGTATTCGAATATCTTTTGTTATTGTTGTTTTAATACATAATTCTAAACTATGGAATTAAATTATTATTGCTTAAGCAAAACTATTATAATAATGCAATTCATGAAACTATAATATATGTAAATTCATAATACTAATTTTTTGTTATATAAATCTCAATTTACAAAGCTAAATTTACATATTATAATAAATGAAATTAATATATAATACTGTAATAGGTTAATTTTGTTTATAAATAAAAATTTGTATCAAAATATAACTTATATAATAATAAAACAAATGAATGAAGAGTTCGTATTGTAGAGCTAGTATTAATCTAATCAGGACAAAAAGCAGTTTTTTAATTTACTCTTAATAATCTTATTCCCGATTTTATTAAATAAAATTCCAAGTTTATAGATCTAGTGTTTAATTAGCTTAATTTGTTCCATCATATAAGTTAAATAGTTGGAGATCTACATGGTCACTATCCTCTTTCTAATACATATTTGATCTACATAGTATATTAAATTTTAATATAAACTATCCTCACGTAAAATTTGTTTGCTTATAAATTTATAAATTAGATTGGTTAGAAGTTTTTACTCGCAAAAATATATATATTTGATAGCTTGAAAGAAACAATAAAATTATACCCCAGACAAGAAGGTATATATATTCAAATTTTCAGATTTATTCTTAATAATAAACTGATTTTTTTTGTTTTTTCTAGTTGCTTTATGGTTATTTAAAGTAAATAAAAATGCATATACAAAAATTTCCTTAATAAAATAAAAAAAATAATCAAAGAATCGCCACTATACAATGTTGATTGGTCTATTTTAAATGGCACACAGTATTTAAGATATCAATTTTATGTGAAAAACGATATAAGGAAGAATTTCACCTACTTCATTTTGCCAATTACCAAAAGCTGCTGGTTCAGAAGCTAGATTTAGATATAAATAATATAAATGATCTGGTATTCTGTTCTCGATATGCATTTATATTTTATGGCACAGTCCAACCTAGAAGTTTCTAAGCTGAAGGAGGTTCTTTCTAAGTTGCAGTTGTATTCTAGAGTATATCCAATTTGGAGGTTCTTAAACTGGAAGAGGTTCTTGAACTAGAAGTTTCTAGATTGCAGTTATATTATATCATATAGTCCGATTAGGAAGCTCTGGATTAATTATATAGCACAATTCGGCTGAGTCAGAAATTTGAAGTTATGGATGATCTGGTGTCCTGTTCCTGGTATGTATTTATATTTATATGGTCCAGCCTAGAAGTTCTCAAACTAAAGAAGGTTCTTGAACTTGTATTCTACAATATAGTCCAATCAGAAAGCTCTGGTTTCCAGTATGCATTTATATTTTAGAGTACAGTCTAGCCTGGAGTTTCTTAAACTAGAGAAAGTTCTTGAACTTGTATTCTACAATATAGTCTGATCAGGAAGCTCTGGTTTCTGGTATGTATTTATATTTTAGAGTATAGTCTAGCCTGGAGTTTTTTGAACTGGAAAAGGTTCTTGAACTTGTATTATATAATATAGTCCATTGGGAAGCTCTAGATTAGTTGTATTTTTAAATATATGACTTAGAAATTTATATATGCTTTATTAAATTATACAGATCATGATTTTATTCTTTGAATTGTGCAACACATTTCAAATTTCCACCATTCACCATTTTAACACAACAATAAAGTTCTAAATTAATTAGTTCACTAGGTCAAAGTTAGATTTAAGATGTAGATTATGAAAGTTTGATTGCAGCCTGGATGCTTTGAATTAGTCATATTTTAAATATAGTATTAAGGTTTGCTGAAATCTTTTCGTATTTATTGCAACAGAATGTTGTTCACCATAAGCAAGTAAAGGATTTTTTTCAAGAAATTGTTCTCAAATACAATAAGGTAATATTATATCTAATTATATAGCAAATAATTACTAAATGTAACTTTTATTATTATCTTTTACAACAAACAGAAATCTACTGACAATAATTATTCAATCGAAGTAAATAAAGAGCAAATTGAAGAATTTTCATTGGTTAGTTACATTATTTAAATTAATATTAAATTAATTGATCTAGTTATTTTTATACTTAAGCTAATGAAAAATTTTTTTTTTTGAAGTCTAAAACTGTAATATTTAATAATATACACATAATTGAAGAAATAAATGAATATCAAACAGAAAACTATTTATTGGTAAGCTAAACTAATATTAAATTAATTGATTTGGTTGTATTTTTATACTTGTGCTAATTAATTTTTTTTTTTGGAGTCTGGAACTGTATTTGACAATAATCATGAAATAAATGAAGAAATCTATTCATTAATAAGCTAAACTTATTTAAAATAATATTAAATTAATTATTCTAATTGTATTTTTATACTTGTACTAATTAATTTTGAAGTCTGGGACTATATTTGACGATAATCATGTAATTGAAGTGATAAATAAAGAAAACTATTCATTGGTAAATTTATTTAAAATAATATTAAATCAATTGTTCTAGTTGTATTTTTATACTTGTATTAATGAATTATTATTATTTTTTAAAGTCTAAAACTGTAATATCTTTGATTCTTAAGTTCTTTGACTTATAATTTAGATACTCGCTCATCTGACTAATATATATAAACAATGACAGAAACCTTTCGAAACAACTTTGAAATGAAAATTTGAAGTGCTCAAAGAGCAAAGCAATGTATTAGTTATAGTGAAGGTTAATATTCATGAAAAATAGAAAAATAGCGATGTAATTCTGTATATATTTCAGATCTTCACAAGCAAGAGTATATATTAATCAATACATCTTCATATACTGTGCAATAGTCTTATAAATATATTTATTTAGTAACTTTATTCACAGTCTCTTGCAGTATAACATAATCGACACTATCGATACCTCTGCTACAAAGGCACAATGTCTTTTAGATAGTATCTGGGTTAAATTAGTAGATACTATGAATGAAGTTACCTCAAACCAAAATTCAAATGATAGAAGAATAAAAGAATATTCAAAAGGTGTCTTTTGTTGTGTGGTAAGCAAATTAATTAATTTGTGATACAACTAATTAATGGTTAAATTTTTTTGTTTAATAATTAGTTGCTTCGAAAGGTTTGAATTGATTAGTAACCAACTTGTCCTACTTTTCTATTAATCAATGTTTTATTGTTAGAACTTACTTAAAAAATTAAGAAAAGCGATTAAACTAAATTGGTCTAAGTTACAAGAGAATAATAAGTACGAAGACAATACCTGGAAAAAACAGGTGCTAAAAATATCAAAGGTTTTGTAAGTATATAATCAAATGTGGCTGACCTATTTTTTAGTTTCATAAATGAATTATTAATATTTTGACTTGGTAATTCATAGCCATGATCAATTTGAACATGGAAAAAATTTATTCACAATTAAACAAACAGAATATCAGTATATAATCAATTTTGTTTTTCTAGTTTATCGAATTCTGTTTAAGGGCCATTCATATTTAAGTTTTGACTAGTAAGTTTTAGCATATTGCCATTTTTATTAATTGTTGTATTTTATTAGAAAAGGTATTGAAATATTCTGCAATTTTGATAAATGAGTCTCTACAAGATGATGTCCGCCATTCTATTGGCAAAAAATAGATATGATAATCAAATTGTCGAAATTAGACTTAGAAATTTCAGTAACAGAGATTACTGGGTCTTCTTTAAATCCAGATCATAGTCATTTTGTTGAAGATCGTAATAAGATAGCTAAAAATTTAAAAATAATCCTAAATTTTATCCACAAGACTTATTCTGGGAATTTTCAACTTTTCCATAAAATTAAAGTTTATGGTGTACAGATTTATAGTAAGTTCTGTGCATTAGACAAATTATTATCAATTATATACTAATTACATATTTTTTATATAGAAAACACTTTCTATATATACAGTTTATCATTACCTTTCTATGGTATTTACTATTTTAAACAAAAGTTCAAGTTTGACTACCCTACTATTACTTTTCTTGTTTTCCAATTGCTACCAAAATTTTTGAAGAATCTATGGAAATTACAAGTAGGTATTTGACAATTTAATAATGTAATAGTGTATATGAATTAACTAATAACTTGAAACATTATTAGGAAATAATTTTTTCTAGTGCCGAAAATATTACCTTATACATTGAAGAAGTAGGTAAATCCAGTAATAGTGATAGTGATAACATTGATCCAGTAAAACCTTTGCCAAAAAAACAGAGAAAAAAAATGATCCAGAGCCTTTAGTAGATCAAAATGATGAATAATTTCTTTTAGATGTCATTTTTTAGAGAATTGAATAGAGAACAAATATTACAGTATTGCTATGAAATATGTAGATACTGTATACTAATACCCTTTATGGTTGTTAATAGTTTATTCAGACTGTGTTTTAAGGATCAGCTTATCTGAATGACTATTAAAATAAAATCAATGTGATTAACACTGCTTATCAAGTCATTGGGTGTTACAAATATGTTTTTAATTAAAGATTTTATTATAATATACATACTATATATATATAGTTTGATTATCCCACAATGCTGTATTATGTTATCCAAAGTATTGTTACTATTGTTTGGGAGAGCGATATGGTTCTATAGATAATTTAGCTCCAATAGTAAACTTAAAAGAATTTATATATATTGTTCGTCAAGAATTTAGACACGTGAGGACTATAAATTAGGGCCTCGATTTACGTAGATCACGATCAGGCTCTTACTAAATTGGACCAAGTTTGGGTTATGTATGTAATTTAAGGATATACAAAAAGAATAAACTAAAGCTAACAGGATAAATTAAGATAATTATAAAACAATAGGACAGATCTATACTAGGAAGTTAGACGGATAGCCTTATAATAATATTGTTATTTAGGTTTTTAATAATGAGAAGAATGTAAAATAAGAGATTCGAGATTAGGTAGCTTTTAGGAATACTTTTAGAGTATATGCTTAACAATACGAAAATAAAAATAAATAAAGAAATAAAAAAAAAAAAAATTAAACATAAAAGGTTTAACATTTCACTTAGACAGTTTCTTAACAATAATGAGAAGTCGATTTTTAGTTTTTTACTTTTCTAAAGACATCAATGTCTAAGAAAACTTTATTAATGGAAAATGACGGCCTTTATATACATTTCTTTTTCTTAATAATTACTGCACTATTTTATTATCTTCCCAATTCTTAACCTTTGCGAGAAGATTGCGCACAATCTCAAAAGCCTCTAATCATGGCTTCGCTTTAAACGCAAAATACGCACAATCTATCAGCCCTTCTTATCTTTTATCTAACTAAACAAACAAACAAATAATAACAATAAAAATTAAAATTAAAATAATAAAAAAATATAGAATTTTAAGCCCCGGTCTTTAAGTTATGGGAACCCGTGACAGTATGTACTGTACGTATGTACGTACGTAACAACTAGGAATTGATAATCAGTTGGCATAAGACTATTGAGATATTGAGTTCCAAAGTCTAAATTTGATTAGAATGCACTAATTCTCTATTAACACGATCTACTATTAACAATTTAGCATTAGCACTTGTTATTAGTTATTATTAGACAACTTATAATATTAACGTTAACTATTGTCCTTACGTTTATCATTCTTGCTAATCCATAACTATTAAACGAATGAACTTATAACATAATTACATGACAAATCATGTGTATAATTTTGGTTGAAGTTTCTTTAATATTATAGCGGCTGTAGAAAAAAATAAATTAAATAAAAGACTACATTTTTACTTAGTGCAACTGAAACAAGTTGAAACAAAACGTAAATTTGCATGACAATTATTGGATTAATGGGCATAACGATAATTCATAACTATTAGGATTTCGCAACTTACAGTCAAAATCCAAAACATGTCAAGCTAAACAAGTAAGCTCAGCGCTCATGAATCACAGTCTCCACAGCATAGGTTATGATTCTCTTCAATAGCTCAGATTGATGCTATAGAACCAGTTCAGAACTAGATAAAAGACTAGATTTAACTGGAACAGGCAAAAATACGCTAGATCGGACTCGACTAGTAATAGTACCCAGGTAGGGTATCACCTGGATTATCCGCAGATAGTTGGATATCCGGGTTGTGAACTCAACTACCCAGATAATACCAGATAAAATACCCGGATGATAATACTTAGATAGTACCTGGGTAAGACATATCTGAATTGAATAAGCTCATAATAGATAAAGTCTGAGTATTCTATATTATATTATATGTATCAGTTCTAGTGAAAAATCACTTTTGTAATATTACAAATTTATTTTGTGCTAGTATGTTTTAATTCATTATTTGTGTTATTCCATGAGTACTATGGCTTTTTGACAAGGCTATTTCAACTGGTCTATAACATCCCTAGCATTGTTCAGTAAAAATGAACTGGCCTATTTTTCTGGCATACATGTAATTTCGGATACTAATTTCTAAATATTATGAATGTTAATTCAAAGAAAATACTATTTTTTTTTTTTTAGTAAGAGCACAGAATAATACAAATAAACTTGAATTTCGATATTATAATGATTTAGTTCTTTTTAACCATTTGGTTTGTTTTCTGTGACGTTCTTCGATAATTTATGTACTCTTTTTACAATTGATCATAATCATTCTTTATGCCCTTTATTTCAAATTGATCAATATCTTCTTTCTGAATATTTATTGACTGTGTAAAATTTAGCAAAATAGATAAGATATTAACTTGTCTATCGATAAAGATTCTGATTTTTATATCCTTTTTGAATGGCAAGAAGTTGGCTATTATTGTTAACATTACTAATAATAATGAAAACTTTTCAATAGATATAATATACTTATTATATCTTAGTTGCTATATAGATATTAAATAAATTCTGAATTGGTATCAATTAAAATTTAAAATACTAACCTAATTTTAATATTACTTTTAGACGATCAAACATTGCTTATTTTCACATTTGGCTATTATAGCTTCAACTTGTGACTCATAAGCGATAAAAGTTTTTAGCGAAGTGATATAGGTAGATTTGATATATACTATTTTACAATATTATGTATCTATATTTTATTTGAAAGTTATAGGATTTAGACCCGAAAAGAGTTTTTGCAAGTTCGATTTGAACAAAAAGCGATTTAAAGTAAGTGTATATAACTAACTTTACCCAGGTACATCGGGTAGGATTTTATATTCGGATATATCTATAGATCACCCAGGTAACCCGCGGGTTTACCCGTTGGATAACCAGATAGCATTTTTTTGATCGGGTACCATTACTAGATAAAATGTCGTTATTTGATATTTTCACATGTTTAATTTATTGGTCATATGTATTAGTAAATATATACATGTTGCAAACTTAATGCTATAATAATTTACTTTACAAAAAATATTACTAATACAAAAATTACAGTAATTCAATAATAATCTTGTTGTATAATCGAAAAAAAAAAGTAAGTTCAATTTAAGCTATAGCTATATATGATAAAATCAAAAAATTTTATTATACCGAAAAATACAGGTCTCACAAAAGAAAATTTTGGGATTATTATATAACAAATAATGTTACTAATGGCCATAGTGCAACTTGCCCTTATTGTATTGGAGCTGTGACATTCTACAGAAATGGAAGCTCACCTTGCAATATTTGTCCTGATGTTCCTAAAGATAATATTGATAAAAGTTACTTTCAAATAGAATTATTAATTACAAGCAAACAAAAAGCTTAAATCAAAAATAATTAAAACAACATGATTTATCATTATATGAGCAAAATGAAATCAATGAAGCTATTTTAAGAACTTTTTATTGTTTAAATAAACTTGTGTATATATTATCGAATATGCATATATTGTGTATTATACTGAAGATAACTTAGCATTGTATATGAAATTTTAAAACGATACAATATAGTCTTATATAGTGTATATAGTATCGTATATAATACTAGATTTGCTTATTACAATATTATACAAATAATTTAAACTGCAATATATATATAACAAATTGCATAATAAATTACACAAACAGTTTATAATATTTTATTATCGTTATATTTAACATACTTGTAAAAAAAAAACTATCATTATATATATACATGTTTTTTCTAAAAATTATATACTGACCTTTAGTCAAAAAGATTAATATTATCTGATGCATTTTCATGAATTATTAAAAGTGTATTTAGAGTAGTTAGACTCATTTTATTTCATATTTTGTTTTTAATTAACTTATGTTGAGAAAAAATGTGCTTTACATAAGCTACGCATGTGTGGTAAAATATAAAAATCTATTAAAAATAGCAACTTAGATTAATTGCAAATTTATATGCAGCATTTTATATTATATTTAATAAAAAATATAAAAACTATTTTAGAACATAGTTTAAAACATGTTTTAAACACAAAAAAATAAAAACCATGTTTTTTGTTATCTCTAGCATACTGTAGTTACAAAATTAAAAAGATCAATTTTTTTTTAATATAAAAAAAAAAAACAAAATAATTTAAAACCTTAATAAAAATAAGTGCTTCTAATACAACTAAAAAATTTTTATTTGGTACTTTATTCTTAAAAAATAAAATTTTTGCTAGACCTATATTACAAGCTTGTAATTTTAAAATATACCCAATTCTGTTTCCAAATTCTTTAATTATTTTGGGCTGTGATTTTTATTTTTGTTTAAAAAATAAATAACATGGACTAATATTTGAAATATTTTAAGTTCATTTTTATTAATATTAATACAATACTACAAATAAATAAAATGCTACTAAAATTGCTAATTTTTTTCTTTATTTTTTCGCTCTTTAACAGTTTTGCTAAAGCTTAACTACAATACTTTATTAATCAGACAAAGGTTGAGTAAAAATATAGAAACATAATCTAACAATTGTGAGTTCAACATCATCTAGCTGCGATAAACGTGCTCAGCTGTGAATTGTTGCACCAACTTACACCTTGTTAGCCCATCTAGTAGGGTTTGAGGCACAGATAAAAAATCAGGCATGCTTTTGGGGGCATGCCCTGAGTAGTGGTATGCTCCTCATGCCTATAGGCATGCCCTTTTTATATAAAAAAACTAGTGCTTCATAAATGTTTAATATAAAAAACTTCTGTTGCTAGAATTATAGTGAATTAGTATAAAAAATTTTTCCAGTGATATATAGTATGTAGTTGATTAAAGTTTAGTTAGTCTGCATTAAAATTATTATGATTTTTTATCATAAGTTACTGTAAAAAATTCTTGCTACATA